CCAAACCACACCCACTGCCGTGGAGTCCATTCTGACCCACAGCGCCCCTAGAGGACAGAGTGGAACTGCCCACAGGGTCTCCAATGCTGTGAATCTTCACGGAAGCAAAGCCCAAACCACACCCACTGCCTAGAGTCCATTCTGACCCACAGCGCCCCTAGAGGACAGAGTGGGACTGCACCACAAGGTCTCCAACGCTGCGAATCTTCACGGAAGCAAAGCCCAAACCACACCCACTGCCTGGAGTCCATTCTGACCCACGGCGCCCCTAGAGGACAGAGTGGAACTGCACCACAGGGTCTCCAATGCTGCGAATCTTCACGGAAGCCAAGCCCAAACCACACCCACTGCCTAGAGTCCATTCTGACCCACAGCGCCCCTAGAGGACAGAATGGAACTGCCCACAGGGTCTCCAAGGCTGTCAATCTTCACAGAAGCCAAGCCCAAACCACACCCACTGCATGGAGTCCATTCTGACCCACAGCGCCCCTAGAGGACAGAGTGGAACTGCCCCAGAGGGTCTCCAAGGCTGTCAGTCTTCACAGAAGCCAAGCCCAAACCACACCCACTGCCGTGGAGTCTATTCCGACTCACAGCGCCCCTACAGGACAGAGTGGGACTGCCCCACAGGGTCTCCAAGGCTGTCAGTCTTCACGGAAGCTGACTGCCATGTCTTTCTACCATGGGACAGCTGGTGGATTTGAACCCATGACCTTTTGGTTGGCAGCCAAGTGCTTAACCCCTGCACCACCAGAGCTCCTTGCCAGTAGGGATCCCAAACCACCAAAGCCACTGCCATAGAGTCGATTCCAACTCACAATGACACTATGGGACCTACAGGACAGAATGTAGTAGTAGGCTTCCCACGGTTGTCAATTTTATGAAAGCAGACTGCCATGTCTTTCTCCCACAGCACAGCTGGTGAGTTTGAACCACTAACCTTTTGACTGGCAGCCAAGCACTTTAACCACTGCACCATCAGGGCTCCCAACCCTTCAGAACAGGGGTCTAATCCCAACGTTTCACAATTGTCAGAAAGAAGAGAGGAGGAGGAGGAGGAGAGTCCATGACACTAGCACATGAGGCCCACTGGAACCGTGAGAACCTGGAGCGGGAGGGAGAAGTGTGTGTCAGGGCCCCCGGGCTGGCTGAGCCAGGGCAAGTGTGCACAGCAGGCCAGGGGTTGCTTTATGGAGTATGGTGACATGTGCAAAGTGCTGCTTTCGGGAACCAGCCTGGTCAAGTTCCCAGGGAGGGTCAGGAGGGACCAGGTGTGGCTAAGGCCGACGGGCAGGGGTGTGGTGGGGTGCTATTGAGGAGGCAGACCTGGGCCTGTGCTGGGAACATCTTGGGACCCTTTCTTCCAGCTGCCATCCACTCTCTCTCATGGGGACCCCACGTGTGTCAGGGCAGAACCGCCCTTCTCAATGGTGATATTTCATACACAGATCACCAGACCTTACTTTCAAGGCACCTCTAGCTGACTCAAACCGCCAACACTTCGGTGCACTGCCAAGTGCGTTAACCACCGCACCATCAGGAGACTCCATGCACTCGTTCCTCCTGGTCAATTACCGAAGGCCCCTGGGGCAAGCGGCCCGGAGAATGCCCTGGACTCCTGAAGGTTTCTCACAAGCAGGGAAGGCCGGACAGGGCAGCTCAAGTTCACAGAACTGGAACTCCTATTAGGATCCTGCCCCACTGCTGACCAATGCTTGGGAAGCCCTGGCCCCCCACACCCTGCTTACTCAGTAACAGTTACGGTTTTCCCACGTTTACGCATTAAAACTACACATTACTGCCAAGTTGAGCGGAGCAGATTCCAGCCACGCACTTTTGGAAAATGCGAAAACAGCTTACAAACCGCTCCCTCCTTGCGCTAGCTCCCTGGGCCCACTGGGAACAGCACAGAAGCCTGTGGTCCCGCTAAGGCTGGGACAGGCCCTTATCAATCTGCCACTGTCTGAGCCACCGTAGGGGAGGAGGGGGAGGACGGTCTGGCTGTGGGGTACGTTGTGAGCTCTCAGAATAAGCCAACGCTGGGCCCAGCTCCAGGGATGTGGATGGAATTGGTCCAGGTGGAACCCGGCAATGGCACTTTTTCATGACCTCTAGGTGTGCTCTGGTGGGCCCTGGAGAGGACAGGGAAGATGGGGACATGATGACAGGAGGATGCGTCCCTGTACACGATCGGGTCCCAGGCACACTAAGCCCTTTGGTGACCTGGGTGCAGACCTAAGGGGTGAGGGAAGGCCTGACCTTACAAAGGGCCTGCTGCAAACCCGTGTGGGGGACAGGATAGGGGACACCCCACCCATCGGATGACAGCATCTCTGGAGAAGTGGGGGCCCCTCAGGGTCTCCATCGTCAGCCGCCATCTAGGGCCACTCAAATTCCAGAGCGCATCCACGTGAGGCCTCACTCAATAGGGGAGACTTGCACAAGCCCTTGAACATACGCGGTCAGGCCCCATGACCCCTTCTCACAGATGGGGGAGCGAAGCCCCGGGGGACAGGGGTGGGACTTGTTCTGGGTCACACAGGGAGGAGGCAGAACTGGAATTTGAACGCAGACCTTAGGACACCTGCTCCACACGCCAACACTGCACAGCCACAGGTAGGAAGGGGGACCTGCTGGTGTTCCAGGCTCACTGGGCCTGGGGGGGCTTACTCCAGAAGGCGGTGATGCCCAGCGCCCAGTTGAGTCAGAGCCAGCAAAGCCTCCTCCCGGTGGCAGAGCTAGATGGAAGTCACCCTCTCTCTAACCTGGGAAAGAAGGCTGACCACCCTCACCCCCAAACCCAAAGCCAATCCTTCCAGAACCACCGTCCTCTGTCACCTGCTGTGACCGAGCCACAGAGGGACGCATTCTGCCCGCTCCCCAGGCGGCTCTAGAATGTGTTTGTCCTCAGCTGACGGGGGCTGTGAGCCATCTGTCTGCTGCCACGTTGCTACACTGAGGGTCAGCATGAGAGAGTTCACCTGACATTTCCATGGCTTTAAGTCAATTTCCTGCTTTTGATGTTTCTTCTTCTTCTGGATTCTAAAGCAAATACAGTGGAAGCTGCACCTCCCAGACTCATGTGTCAAGCAGGAGAACGTGAGACACCAGCTCTCCTTCCGGGCTGCCCAGTGTCTCTGCCACCCGCTCAGTGATCTGCTGAGCGTGGCACTCCTTACCTGGTACCACAGGGGCTCTCCCGCTACCGAGCGGTGCTGGAGGGCCTGCGTTCAGCACTGCTATCGAGGCTATCAAGGAAGCAGGTGGGTCTTGTGGAGAAATCCGTACAGACACAGGCTCAGTCCTGTGAAGGTGCCATGTCCCTGCTACAGCTTCTCCCCGGTGTGGATCTTCTGGTGCCGGATGAGGTGAGAGCTGCCCCGGAAGGACTTGCCGCAGGTGTTGCACTCATAGGGCTTCTCCCTGGTGTGGGTCTTATAGTGCTCGATGAGGGCCGACCGGTGCCGGAAGGCTTTCCCACACTCATTGCACGTGTAGGGCTTCTTCCCGGTGTGGATCCGCTGGTGCTGGATGAGGGCTGAGCTGTGGCAGAAGGCCTTCCCGCACTGGCCGCACTCGTAGGGCTTCTCCCCCGTGTGGATCCGCTGGTGCTCAATGAGTGAGGAGCTCTGGCTGAAGGCTTTCCCACACTTGTGGCACTTGTAGGGCTTCTCCCCAGTGTGGGTCTTGCGGTGCTCGATGAGGTTGGAGCTCTGGCTGAAGGCTTTTCCACACTCCTCACACTGGTAGGGCTTCTTCCCCGTGTGGATCCTCTGGTGCCGGATGAGGTGGGACCTGTGGCAGAAGGCTTTCCCACAAAGCTCACACTCATGGGGCTTCTTCAGAGTGTGGATTTTCCGGTGCTGGCTCAGGCCCGAGCTCTGGTTGAAGGCTTTCCCACACTCCTTGCACTGGTACGGCTTCTCGCCAGTGTGAACCCGCTCATGCTTCCGGAGGCTTGCACTCCGGCTGAAATCTTTGCCGCAGGCCCCACACTCGTAGGGTCTCTTGCCAGTGTGGGTCTTCTGATGCTGCGTGAGGGCGGAGCTCTGGCGGAAGGCCTTGCCACACTCCCGGCACTCGTACGGCTTCTCCCCGGTGTGGATGATCTGGTGTCTCAGCAGGTGTGAGCTCTGGCTGAAGGCCTTGCTGCACTCCCGGCACTCGTACGGCTTCTCCCCGGTGTGGATGACCAGGTGTCTCAGCAGGTGTGAGCTCTGGCTGAAGGCCTTGCCGCACTCCCGGCAGGTGTAGGGCTTGGCTGGCTGTGCCGCTCCGTGAGGGCCATCAAGCACCACACTCTCCCATCTTGCTTTCTTCCCATCACACTCACTGGAGTCCTTTCCACCATGGACCATCTCACACACATTGAGGTCTGGCTTCTGGAGAAAGGCTGGGCCAAACAGCTCATCGTCCTGGGGTCTGGTGGCCAGGGGCAAACCCTGATGCTGAACAGGGCCAGAGCACAGGCTGAAATTGCCCCCATAATCGTCACACTCCTCACCTTGTTCCCCAAGAGGAATGTCCTTGTACACAACAGCCATGTGCTCCAAACTTCTGTCCTGAAGAAAAGGACTCCCCAGGCCCCCCACCAAGAAGAGTTCTTGCTGCAGCTCGAGCCTGTCTTCAAGCACAAAGTTCTGAGCAAACTTGGTTCCTGGGGGGACTTCCATTGCAAACAGGGGATCACATTTCTTCACGAACCTTCTTGGCAACACCACTTCTGTTTTCACACCTGAAAGGGGAAGAAGGCACAGGGTCATGTGGGCAAGTGGAGTGCCTACTGCATGCCTCCTCTCTACGCTACAACCCAGGGTGGAAACTGTAAGGCAACCACGTGACACAAGCTTCTCTTTGGGACGACCTCAACCGACTTAGAGACGCGGTGGACTGAACTGAAGCAATGGCAGGCAGACACACACACTATGCCAGTTGCAGGGGGGTGGACACTGACTCATGGTGATCATGGGTCAGAGTAAACCTGAGCAGCACGGGGTATCAGTCACTGGTTTTGTGGAAGTAGACTGTCCAGCCTTTCTTCCAAGGTACCTGTCTGGATGGCTTCAAACTGCCAACCTTTTGGTAAGCAGTTGAGTGAGCTAACCGTTCACACCACGCAGGGACTCCAGACGGGCCGACACGATCAAGTGCTCCACTTTGGTATCTAAAGTATTTAGGCTTGGGATGTTTACAAAGTGAAGCCCAGAGTGAGGTGAAATACTAAGTGGGGTCACGGTGGCAAAGAGGTGAGACTCCAGCTTACCTGAGGACAGGAGGGGAGGGGCTGTTGGGAAAGGAAAGAAGTCCCTCCTACCCCAGGTTAAAGAGGCCTGGTGGCGCAATGGTTAAGCTCTCAGCTGCAAACCTGAAGGTCAATGGTTTGAACTCACCAGCCATTCCGCAGGAGAACGATGTGGCACTCTGCTTCCTTAAAGAGTACAGTCCTGGAAACCCTATAGTGCAGTTCCACTCTGTCCTCTAGGGGTGCTGTAAGCAGGAATCCACTCACTGGCTGTAGTAAATGGGTATGTACACTAGGTTAACCACACCCTATGCATCCAGTGCCCAAGCCAGGATCCTGGGAGTGAGGCTAGACCTTCTCTCTTGCTCCCACACTCCGTCCCGTCCCTTTCTTGAGGCTGCACTAGCCATCTCAACTTCCCTGTCCTTGCTGTCACTCTGTGGTCAGGCCCTGACGTTCCTCTCAGGATAATCTCCTGGTCACCTCCTAGTGGCCCACTCTGGTGGTTACATCTGTGTGTCAGCTTGGCTGGGCCTGATTGAACGGCTGGGCAGCTGGACGTAGTTATCCCCATGGTGAGACTGGCATCAACTCCACGGTGGAATCCACTGGAGCAGCTGAGTGACTGCCTTAGGGATGGGGGCTGCTTCCCGTACATAAGCAGCAGCTTTGGGAATGGTCTCTAGCCTATGGCACGCTTGGACCCTGCACGGAACCGTGTCGTCGTTCAGCAGCCTGCCACGCTCTGCTGACCCTGGGAGTTTCAATGGACTCGAATCAATAGCCTGCCGTGTGGTTTGGTAACATCAGGACTGGACTTTTTACCTGTCAACATGGGCGTGTCAGCCTCAGCAGCCAGCAGCTGTCTGAGTGAAGAAAAGCCTCCAGCTCCAGCGGGCCGGGAGCAGGAGGCAGAGCTGAACCCCAAGGTCGAGGGGCTGTCACCCAGCCCCTAGAGCCTGGCACTTTGAACTCAGATTTAAAGCCTCCAAACAGTAAGAGAATAAACTCCTGTGTCTTCAAGCCATGCCATTGGTGGTATATTCCTGTCAGAGCAGCACTAGGTAACCAGAACACCCACCCACCTCTGGCTTCTGCAGGCCCTGAGTGGGGCAGTGAACACACTCGGCCGCTAACTGAAGGCTGGCGGTTCAAGTCCACGCAGGGGCACCTCACGGGAAAGCCTGGGGAGCTACTTCAGAAAGATCTCTGCCGACAGCCCCGTGGAGCACAAGCCTCGTGTAACACCGTGCCGTGCTGAGTGGGCACTGACTGCACAGCCACTGGGGACCCAGCTTCTCCCCCTGCCTCCAGTCCATTTTCTCTGCAAACCAAAAAATAACCAAGACCCCAGCCCCCAGGCCCGTGGCCGTCGAGCTGACCCCGACCTCAGCACCCTCCCGGGTGACCGACGGACTGCTCCGCGGAGTCTCTCGGCCATCATCTTTACAGCAGCGGATACCAGGCTGCTCTTCCGTGGTGCTCCTGGGTGGGTCTGAACCACCAACCTTTAGATTAGCAGCTGGCAGCAAGCCCAGTGTGCCCCCGAGGGCCCCGAACACAAATCTGATCACGTGGCTTCCCTTCTCAGGACCTCGCCACAGTGTCCTGCTGCCTATGAAACAGAGCCCCGTGCCATGACGAGGCCTTTCCAGCGGCCCTCCCGGCCCTGTCCTGCCTGTGGGCTCCACACCCCTAGCATCCCGGTGCACTGCTGCCCTGGGCTGCTGTCTCCAGGCTCTGTGCCTAACAGGGGATCAGAGGCTGCTGCTCTCCCACTGCCCTTGCCCAGCCTCACGGAGTCAGTTCAA